GCACTTGGGCCATCCTTCACTGCCCTCCCAGGCCACAGCAGAGAGCTGGACTGGAACAGGAGCAACTGGGAATAGAACCCGGCACCCATATGGGGTGCCTGTGCTGCAGGAGGATTAGCCTAGTGAGCCATGGCGCCGGCCCCTCTAGTTACTCTTATGTTTAGTAACCTTTATGATGATTGCACATAGGAAAAATGCCATGTTCCATAACATGAGGTCTCTTGCCCTTTATCCATCATATGGTATTCTTTGTATTCAATTCAGTACTTGACCATCATTCAACTGCTTCTTACGCTTTATAAACATCATGATATTTCTAACCTCCAGAATTTATTTTGAATGTCTCCATTGTGTGAAAAGTTATTGTATCCTCAATTGGCATATAAGGGATGGCATACAACCCTGTGGGAAGAACTCCATGAGCCCTCCCTCCTTTGGTTCAGGCTGTAAGGACTAACACCTGGACACTTGGGAAAGCATTGCACTGCTGCAGGCGGCGGCTTTACCTGCTTTGCCACAGTGCCAGCCCCTCACATTCCCACTCTTAATTTTTACACTGATCTATTTGCAATTTACTCAATGTTAGTATAGCTAGTTCTACACTTAGTAAAAGAGTTCACAGAATAGTATGAAGGAAAAAAGAAAAGAAAAGAAAAGAAAAACAAAACAAAAAAAAAAAACCACTGTTCTTCAAGGGAAGACAGGATTTCAAAATGTCTATTTCACTATAATATATTACATTTCATGTACTCTATTAGCTACCTTGGATCAGGGAAAACATATGATATCTGTCTTTTTGGTACTGGCTTATATCATTAGGTATAATGGTTTTTGGTTATACTCATCTTGTTGCAAAAGACAGAATTCCATTTTTGTTTTTTATAGCTGAGTACTACTCCATAGTGTATATATACACTCCATGTTGTATATATATCATAATTTTTCATCCAGTCAACTGTTGATGGATATCTGGGTTGATTCCAAATCTTAGCTCTTGTGAATTATGTTTCAATACACATGGGGATACAGATAACTCTTTAAATGTTGATTTAATTAGGTTTGGGTAAATTCCAAGGAGTGTGATGATTTGATAATGTGTTAGGCCTATATTCAGATTTCTTAGGTATCTCCATACTTATCTTCTACAGTGGCTGCACCAGTTTACATTCCCACCAACAATGGACCAGATCCTCGCCATCCATTTGTCCTTTGCTGATTTCTATATGTGAGCCATTCTAAATGAGTGAGGTGAAACCTCATTGTGGTTTTGATTTGCATTTGTTGATGGTTAGCAATCTTGAGAATTTTCTCATATGTCTATTGGCCATTGAATTTCCTGTCTTGAAAAATGCCTCTTCAAGTTCCTTTGCTCATTTCTTAACTGGATTATTTGTTGTTTTGTTGTTGAATTTCTTGAGTTCTTTATAGAATTTGGATGTTAAGCCTTTATCAGTTGCATAGTTTGCAAATATTTCCTCCCATTCTGTCAGTCTCCACTTCACTTTGCTGAGGATTTCTTTTATGGTATTGCAGAAGCTTCTCAATTTGATATAATCCTATTTGTCAGTTTAGGCTTTGAATGCCTGTGCTTTTGGGGTCTTTTCCAAGAAGTCTTTGCCTGTGCAAATGTCTTCCAGAGTTTCCCCAATGTTCTCTAGTGATTTCAGGGTATTATGTGGTAGATTTAGGTACTGGACCCATTTTGGGTGGATTTTTGTATAAGGTGCAAGTATGGGTCTAGTTTCATACTTCTGCATGTGGAAATCCAGTTTTACCAGCACCATTTGTTATAGAGACTGGCATTCCTCCAGGAATAGAATTTAGCTCCTTCGTCAAAGAAAAGTTGGTTGTAGAAGCATGGATCAATTTCTGGAGTTTCTGTTCTCTTCCGTTGGTCTACAAGTCTGTTTTTGTGCCAATACCAGGTGGGTTTGATTACAACTGCCCTGGAGTATGTCTTGAAATCATGTATTGTGATATCTCTGGCTTTGTTTTTGTTGTATAAGATTGCATTAGCTATTCGTGATCTCTTATGTTTCCATATGAATTTTGGGATCATTTTCTCTAGGTCTGATAAGAATGTCATTGATATTTTGATTGAGATCACATTGAATTTGTAAATTGCTTTTGGTAGTATGGACATTTTGTTAATGTTAATTCTTCCAATTCATGAACATGGAAATTTTTCCATTTTTAAATGTCTTCTTCAATTTCTTTCTTTAGTACTTTGTAATTTTCATTATACATATCATTGTCATCTTAATTAAATTTATTCTGAGTTATTTAATTCTTTTTGAACTATTGTGAATGAGGTTGATTTTGAAAGTTCTTTCTCAGCCACGATATTGTCAGTGTATAGAAAGGCTATTGATTTTTCTATGTTGATTTTATAACCTGCCACTTTACCAAACTCTTTTATGAGTTTCAATACTCTATCAATGGCGTCTTTTGGATCCCCTATATATAGGATCATGTCATCTACAGATAGGGATGGTTTAATTTCCTCCTTTCCAATTTGTGCCCCTTTGACTGCTTTTTCTTGCCTAATGGCTTCCAGGATTATATTAAATAGCAATGGTGAGAGTGGACGTATTTGTCTGGTTCTGGATCTTAAGGGAGATGCTTTGAGCTTCTCCTCATTCAATAGAATACTGGTTGTGGGTTTGCCATAAATTGCCTTGATTATGTTGAGGAATGTTCCTTCTATACCCAATTTGTTTAAGGTTTTCAGTATGAAAGGACACTGTATTTTATCAAATGCTTTCTCTGCATCTATTGAAATAACCATATTATTTTTGCTCTTCATTTATTAATGTGATATATCACATTTATTGATCTGTGAATGTTGAACAATTGCTGTATATCAGGATAAATCCACTTCATCCAGGTGAATGATCTTTATGATATGTTGTTGGATTCATGGGATTCAATTACCTAATATTTTGTGGAAGATTTTTGTATCTATGTTCATCAGCAATATTGGTCTATAGTTATCTTTCTCTGTTGTATATTTTTTCTCGCTTAGGGCTTAAGGTGATACAGGCTTCTAGAAGAAGCTTGAGAGGATTCCTTCCCGTTCAATTGTTTTTAATGGATTGAGAAGAGTTGGAATTAGTTCTTTAAATATTTGTTAGAATTCAGCGATGAAGCTGTCAGTCCTTGGCTTTTCTTTGTTGTGAGGGTCTCTATTACTGATTCAATCTCTGCCTTGCTTATTGGTTTGTTTAGGTTTTCTATTTCTTCATGATTCAATTTTGGTAAATTATATTTGTCTAGGAATCAATTCATTTATTTGTGTTTCCCAATCTGTTGACACACAACTCTTCATAATAATTCCTTACAATTCTTTTTATTTCTGTGGTATTTGTTGTTACATTCCCAGATTTTACTGATTTTTTGATTGGTTGGGCCAATGTATCAATTTTGTTTATTTTTTTTAAAGTTTTTTTTTTTCACTGATCTTTTGTATTGTTTATTTGGTTTCAATTTTGTTTATTTCTTCTCTAATTTTAATTATTTCTTTCTCTTACCAATTTTTGGTTTGATTTGTTTTTGCTTTTCTAGGTCCTTGAGATGCACTGATAGCTCACTTATTTGGTACCTTTCCAATTTCTTCATGTAGGCACTCATGGCTATAAACTTCTCCATTGACACTTTTTTTTTTTGGTATCCTATAAGCTTTGATATGCTGTATTGATATCTTCATTTGTTTTCAGAACTTTTTTATTTCTCCTGTGATTTCTTCTATGATCTACTGTCCATTCAGGAGCATGCTGTTCAGTCTCCATGTGTTTGCATATATTCTAGAGATTCTTGAGTTGTTTATTTCCCGCTTCATTCCACTGTGGTCAGAAAAGATGCGTGGTATTATTTTTATTTTTTTCGAATTTGCTGAGGTTTGCTTTATAGCCTAGCATATGGTCTATCCTAGAGAAAGTTCCATGCATAGATTAGAAGAATGGATGTTCTGCAATTGTGGGGTGAAAAGTTCTGTAGTTATCAGTTAGGTCCATTTTGTCCATAATGTTGATTAGCTCTATTGTTTCTTTTTTGATTTTCTGTCTAGTTGATCTGTCCATTGATGAAAGTGGTGAATTGAAGTTCTTCATTACTATTTTTTTTTTTTTGAGAGGCAGAGTGGACAGTGAGAGAGAGAGACAGAGAGAAAGGTCTTCCTTTGCCATTGGTTCACCATCCAATGGCTGCCACAGCCGGCGTGCTGCGGCCGGCGCACCACGCTGATCCGATGGCAGGAGCCAGGTACTTCTCCTGGTCTCCCATGGGGTGCAGGGACCAAGCACTTGGGCCATCCTCCACTGCACTCCCTGGCCACAGCAGAGAGCTGGCCTGGAAGAAGGGCAACCGGGACAGAATCCGGCGCCCTGACCGGGACTAGAACCCGGTGTGCTGGCGCCACAAGGCGGAGGATTAGCCTAGTAAGCCATGGTGCCGGCCCTCTTCATTACTATTATATTGGAGTCTATGTCTCCCTTTAGACCCTTTAACATTTCTTTTAAGTAGCCAGATCCATGTAATTGGGTGTGTATACATTTAGTATAGTCATATCTTTCTGTTGAATTAATCATTTAATCATTACATAGTGTCCTTCTTCATCTCTTTTAAGAGTTTTTATGTTAAAGTCTATTTTGTCTGATATTAGCATGGCAACACATGCCCTTTTTTGCTTTCTGTTAGCATGGAATATATTTTTTCCATCTTTCACTTCCAGTCTGCATGTATCTTTGTTTGTGAGAATACGTTTCCTGTAGGCAGCAAATAGATGATCTTGCTTTCCATCCATTCAGCTAGTCTATATCTTTTAATTACAAAATCAAGACACTTTTTTATTGCAGGTGACAATTGATAAATAACAAGTTGGCCCTCCATTTTATGCCAAACATTAGGGATTAGCCAGTCTTTTCCTTAATAAAGCAAAAAATTGCTTTAATGTCTCACTAAATAAGAAATTTTAAAAATTTAAAACTTAGATTATGTTTTTCTTTTTTTTTATATAAAACAGTGTTTTAATTCTTGTCCTTGGGGACTATAAAGACTATACATGATTTGGAAATGAGACTATACCAAACAACGGCCAAAGAAGAATCATCTGTTCTATGCCTTCTCTTTCGTCTGGTCACTCAGAAAGATAATGTTATCAGCGATGATGGTGGTTGCTTGTTGCCGCACGTTATTTTTATCCATGTATTCACCATAGTCTACCTTCCCTTCCACGTAAATTCGAGACCCCTTTTTCACATACTGATACGCCACATCTCTGAGGCCTGGCCGGAATACTGATATTCTGTGCCACTTTGTTTTTTGACTAACATCACCCATCTGGTATGTTTCATTATCCCTGGATCGCCACATCTCATTTGTTGCTAGGGAAAATATTGTGACTGGATTTTTTCCTTCCACCTGTCTCATGACAGGGTCCTGACCCACTCGCCCCAGTAACTGCACACGATTCAGAGATCTTTCAAGAACCAAACTGCTAGCTATTTCCGACTCATGTCTTACAAACTGACGAAGCACCTGTAACGCAGGCCTCCGAAACATGGCTGCTCTTCTCAGTCTAACCTCTGCCGGTCCCGGCGCTCCAGCCGACGGCCTCCAGCCCTCAGATTATGTTTTTCTTTAAAAATTTGCAGAATAGAAATTCATTCTATCTTATCATGGTTTCATAAAATAACATTTCCATATCGTTTATCAACCTATCATTATTTTCTTCCCAGAATTCATTTAATTTTTATTAATGTTCAGTTTTTCACAAAATTTTCAATTTCATTTAATAGAAGTTCCTTTGATTTCTATTTATTTTTTACTGCTTCATGTTAGTCATATGACTTCAACTAGCATGTTGGGGCTGCTTGAAATTCTATGCATCAAACTTAGTTTAACCGAATAAATGTGGAAATTTTAAAACTAAAAAAAAATTCAGAATGAATATCATAATCTTGTAATGATGCTAGAATAGAATAAGTAAAGTGAGATACCTGTAATGAATCCACTTGTATATCCTTGATAAGACATCAGTTCTTATCTCTTCTATTGTGGTTATTAAATTCCAATTGAAGTTTTGATGTGCTATGGAGTTAATATTTATAATAAAATGAGAATTGTCATTATAATTTATAAGCTATCTGTAGATTATCAACTATGAATTTAAGGGATGATTCTAGAATGGCGTATACTTAGACTAGAAACAATGACAAAGTCACATATCTAGTCATTAAATAATTTCTTAAAGAAGAGCATTCAACCATATGTAACAAAGTATTCTAGTTTAGAAGACTTCAGTAATTAATATGAAAAATCTTGCTCTTGTGGATTTTATATAATGATACTGTGATAGAAAATAAAGCAGAGAAACAGAGAAAAAAATCTTTGAAGGTACTTAGTACCATGAAGAAATAAATCAAGATAAATGGACATATTAAATAATTGGTATTGAAATAATATTATTTCAACTCAATAATCTTTGGAACTAGCTATATAAAATTTATTCTATAAAGTGGTTGCAAAACTTTTCAACATATTTGTCAGTGGCCTTTGTAAGGATTAAATTGAAAGTGATATTCAAGCACTTCTAGTAAGATTTCCCTTAATAAGGGAAATCCATTGACTGTATTTAGGAGTCTTGCATGCAACTTAAATTCACAATAGATAGCTTTTAGCATATAGTGCCTGTGACAAACAGAGTTAGAACTCAGTAAATAATCCACATCGTTCTTACAATTCCGATTTTCTTCTGTAAGTATTGAGGAGTTTCAACAATTGTCACAATGATAACAGAAATACTATACAGGTCTCGTCATTTAAGAGAATATGTGGTCAATGCAACTTCTTCACATCTTGCTTCTTCAGCAGGGGCAGACAAGTCTAGCAGTTAGTGTCTTAATGGTGCAATGATAGCATCACAACCATGAATCCCTAAGTCAACAGATGAAGTGGAATTCTTGCTAATTTGATTCAACCTTTTGGGACCAAGATATCAGTTTGTAGTTTGATTTTTTAAGATTAATTTATTTATCAGGAAGCAGACTTACAGAGAAGGAGAGAAAGAGATAGGGATTAGGAGAGGGGAGGGAGGGAAGGAGGGAGGGTGAGAGCGAGAGAAAGAGCGAGAGCGAGAGCGAGAGCGAGAGAGAGAGAGAGAGAGAGAGATCTTCCATCTGTTGGTTCACTCCCCAGATGGCTACAATGGCCAGGACTAAGCCAGGCTGAAGTTGAGCTTCATCCTAGTCTCCGATATGAGTGGCAGTAACCAAAGCACTTGGGCCATCTTCCACTGCTTTTCCCAGGCCATTAGCAGTGAACTGAATTGGAAGAAGGGAAGGTAGGACATGAATAGGCATCCATATTGGATGCCAGTATTGCAGACTACAGCTTTACCTGTTGTGCCACAATGCCTTCCCTGATTTTTAGTTTGATAGCTCACAGCAAATGGCTTGTTTCTATATTTCTACTCAATATCCTTTTGGTTGCCTTCAGTTTTGGACAATTGTAAATTAAACTGCTGTAAATATTCATATACAGGTGTAAACATGTCCCTAAAGTTTTAAATTTTGGGGTAAATTATTAGGAGCATGACTGTTAGATAATATAAGACTTAGTACTGCTTCGTAGGAGTTTACCAAGTAATCTTTCAAAGTAGCTTTACTTTTTTGCATTCATACCAGCAATAATTTAAAGTTCTTGTTACTTCATACTCTAACCTGCATTTGACATTATTTTGTTATTTTCTTGGAATTTACTCATTTTCCCTGACATGCAATGGTCTCTCATTGTTTTCTCTGAGATCTTTGATGAAAAATGGTGTATATTCAGTGGTTTCATAAATACTATATTTAGAAGTATCAAAGTATTTTAATTGAGCTTTGTTTCTTTTTCCATATATTTAAGTACTTCGTGTGTTTTGTTTACACATTATTTTCAGATACTGTGAGATTGGTCATTTTATAACTTCTGAATTTTACAAGGATAATAGTTTCTTGGGGGAGGGGAGAAACCAAGTCTTTAAGATATACATAAAAGACCCTAGAACAAAAAGAGACCTTTAAATTAAAGGAACATCACATTAAAGAAAAAATAGTAATAAATAAACCCATACTAAAGAAATGTAACTAGAAGTCAATAAATTATATAAAAAAGTCACATTAGTTTTATGGGGCTATTTTTGGGAGGGAAGATTGGGGATTACATAAACTTCCAAATAATAGCTAATTTCTATAGTATAAAAATTTTGGAGAATTAAGAAAAAAAGGAAGGAAGGAAAGAAGCCCCATGTGTTAGGAAGGCAGGATAATCTTGACTCTAAAACCAATTAAGGACTGCAGTATACAAACACAATGTAAGCACAATTTATATATAAAATATAAATAAAATTGTTGAATTATTAGTTACGTATTCACCCAGCAATTTAAGGTCACAAGTCACAGTTAAATATATTTTAGCTAGTATTGTGGACTGAAATGAGCTCCACAAAAAGAAAATGTCGGATCCCTATCATCAAATGTGGTGCTATTTAAAGATAAGGTTTAGAGAAACAATTAAGATCAAAAGAAGGCTAATGTTTGGGATCTAATCCAATAGACTTGTTTTCAATATAAGAACAGGGTTACCAAAGAGCTACTGCTCTCTCTTGCTCCTTCATTCTCTCTCTCTCTCTCCTTTCCTCTCCCCCTCCTTCTTGTCCTCTCTTCCTCTCCCCAGAGAAAAGCAGTTGAGGACACAGGGAGGCCATCTGCAATCAAGGCAGCCCTGACCAGGAACTTTATTTACCAGTACCCTGGATCATAGACTGCAATTCTCCAAAACTGTGAGAAAACAGATGTCAGTTGTTTATTTATTTATTTTTTAAAGATTTATTTATTTATAGAGAGAAGGAGAGGCAGAGAAATAGAGGTCTTCCATCTGCTGGTTCACTCCCAAATTGGCAGCAATGGTTGGAGCTGTGCCAATCTGAAGCCAGGAGCCAGGCACTTCTTCCAGGTCTCCAATGCAGGTGCAGGGGCCCAAGGCCTTGGGCCATCTTTCACTGCTTTCCCAGGCCATAGCAGAGAGCTGGATCAGAAGTGGAGCAGCCATGTAGGATGCCTGCACTGCAGGCAGTGGTTTCACCTGCTACTCCACAGAGCTGGCCCCATGTCAGTTGTTCAAACTATTCCAGCAATTGCAGATTCTCCAATACTCTACATCTGCCTACAAACTAAAAGTCTATTTACTTATCTGAGTGTTTCACGATCAGTAATGATTTTCCATTTAGAGAATATTTGGCAATATCTGGAATTATCTTTGGTATCAATATTGGGGGTGTTTCTGGCCTGTAGTTTTGAAAGTCCAGCCCTGCTCAACATGGGCTGTTCAACTTCCCACCACACAGGCTTATCCATCCCCAACTGCAATAATACTGAGTTGAAAAACTTTTATTTTATTTATTTTTTATTTTTATTTTTTGACAGGCAGAGTGGACAGTGAGAGAGAGACAGAGAGAAACGTCTTCCTTTGCCGTTGGTTCACCCTCCAATGGTCGCCATGGCTGTTGCGCTGCGGCCTGTGCACCGCACTGATCTGAAGGTAGGAGCCAGGTGCTTCTCCTGGTCTCCCATGGGGTACAGAGCCCAAGCACTTGGGCCATCCTCCACTGCACTCCCGGGCCACAACAGAAGCTGGCCTGGAAGAGGGGCAACCGGGACAGAATCCGGCGCCCCGGCGCCCCGACCGGGACTAGAACCCAGTGTGCCAGTGCTGCAGGCAGAGGATTAGCCTAGTGAGCAGCAGCACCTGCCAGAAAAAAACTTTTATTTTAACTCATCTTTCTCTTCCAGAGCAGCTAGAATCCAAATAGCATCTTTATATTATGCGCAGGGATCACCTTGCAGAGTTCCACAGGTACATTAGATGCATTTTCTAATTTCCAAGTTATTTCAGATGTTAGATTTAATTGTTTTATTTTGCTACTATATATCAAGGACTGCCACACTTTGAACTTGCCTTGACACTTTCCTTACCACATTTTTCTGATTCTGCTCATATTTTAGCTTTCTTGTGGCAGCACTCCAATTTCAGGTGCCCATTTTTGTATCAGTTATCTAGCATTACATCACAACATGAAATGATTTAAGTACCTGAAATAGCTGTCCAAAACATCCAGCCTTAAGTCAATGAATGAGGTAGATCAGCTGCCACTTGCACACACAAAAACAGTCTGTGACATTGGTCTTGGGAGGGGAGAAAGTCTTTATTAGTGGCCAGGAAGGAGGCATAAGAGTACCATTCTCCTTTCAATGATCTGAGGCATGGGCAATTTGGTGGGTTAGGAGGAAAAAAGCTGATCGGCAGAAAAGCTGGTGAGGCAACTTTTAATTGGAATTGGCTTGGAATCAGATCAGCAAAGAATGATCTCATCCCAATCAGCTCTCCTAAGAAAGCAGGAAATTAAACGTGATCAGAGCTATTTTAAAGTTCTGATAAAACAGAGAAATCTCAGGAACAGAATCGACAATATCAGAAGTTTTGAGTTTGAGATATCTGGAAAACTTCATATGGGGGCAGTCCAACTTGATATCACCTACTTCATTTATAACTGAACTAGGTACAGTTGAGTATGACTTTGGTAA